AAGACTAGATACAGAAACCACACCGCATCATTCCGACACATAAAACAGAGAAACTCTACCGAACTCAGCAAACATATCTGGGCCCTTAAAGAAAATAACATTGACCACTTTATTTCATGGCGCATTCTTTCATCAAGATCACCCTACAACAGCGCAAGCAAAAGATGCAACCTCTGCTTCAAAGAAAAATTACTTATCATCTGCCTACCTGAATTATCATCACTCAATAAAAGTAACGAACTTGTCTCCTGTGTAACAATTGAACAGAACATCGAAATTTACCACGATGTCCATTTTGCAGATTAGAATAATAGGTGTGGATATGCCTATTATATATATCTATATATCTATATATATATAGAGAGAGATATTCCTTGTGGTGTACTTTGGAATTTATGGGAACAACAGAAGTCCAGGGGATAGAAAGATGGCAGAAAAAGAAAAAAATGCTCTTTGCATTCAAACAAAGTTTATTTTACTGTGGTTAAAAAAAAAAGAGAGAGAGAGAGATTATACACTAACAAATGGGCTTTATAACCCATTTGAGAGGTGACCTAAATAGTTAAGGCAAAGTATGCCTCCTTAAAGAAAATGTTTCAATTTGGAAGCAAAATGTTTGTTATATGAGGGCCCAAGGCCGTTCATAGCATTGTGCAACTGTATGGTATGCATACTAGCAGCTGTTTCTTAAAATAGGACAAACTTAGTCCCTGCAGGGCTGGGGAGACGTGTTGAACTTCTTAGTATTTGTCAGCATGGGGGTGGCAAATTTTTGCACCAAGTGCTACTTATGTATGTCATCCATGTACGATTATATCATTACCCATTACAAATAAGAAAGTAAGAAATTGATTAAAGCTAAAATTACGGTAGAAAAAATCAAAATACAGTCTAGAATATCTATACAAAGGCAAGTCTAACCCCTTGGTATGACTTTATCTTCATTGCAGACATGTAAGTATCAAGATATCAAGACCAATAAAAAGAATTCTGTGGTAGAATAAAAATAATTCAAAGTATCAATTTAAAAATCTAATTACATAGCCCAGATAGTGTTTTTCTCTAGGCATTGGTGTCTAATTTTCATTAAATTTGTTTATCATTACCACAACCGTATCCGTCTATTAAATCTCCGAGGGGCATATGCTTGACTGACAATGTATGGCACACAGCATCTAGTTCTCTTTGTTCACTCTTACGAAGTTTTTTTCACTTAGTTATTTAATTTACCAACTTTCATAGATAGCTGCCTAAATTGCATATGAAGCAAATTTTTGCTTCCTTTTTCTGGCTGGTAGTTGTATTTAAGGTTTAAAATTATTGGTCTTAGTTCCTGGTGAGTAAGTGACCATTTTTTACGCATAATGTGTAATACTTTATACACTGATGTGCATTACAAATTTAAAATACGAAATAGTTAGAACACTGAGAAATAGTTTAAATGAAGAGCCAGGGGGCTAAATGACTGCCAAGTTTGGATTGGGAGTTTGCGACTGGGCAACACGTATGGGTCAGCATATTGAGTACCATGTTCAGAAAAACAGGCTTTGTTTTCATTAAAACTTTTCCATTTCTGCTTGTGTAGGCGCTGGCACTTATGGTTTCAGAGTGGGACTTTCGGTGATGACCTCCAAGTTCCCTTATCATGATTCTCTATTGTTTCGCTAAGGTCAGCTTTCATTGTCTTAGCAATTGTTTGTTTTCCAGAGTTATTTCACACTCAAGGTTTACATAAGTTTGTTGGGAGCATATCTGGTGTTGTATAAATGAATTCTGCTTGCATATTGAAAATGATTTTGGAATGGATCCACTTAGGCAGGCCTTTGTGCCATAGATGCAAAAACTTTAAAGCATTGTGTAGATACACATTATTTACTGTTAGAATGTCTAGAAGGTTGAGCAGATGGAGGGTGCTATCCGTTTGTTTATGCAAAACGTCCGCATGTTTGTTCTCAAGTGGGCGATCAATAATTGCTGAAGAAATGCACAGGTGAAATGCATCTTCTCCTCTTCTTTGTTAACCAGTGTTTAGTTGGCAGTGTGGTTGTCACTTGGGATTGAGATTGACAGAGTATATTCCATGGTTAATCACAATTATTCTCTTGAGGAAAATGGTAAGTGAGTTGGCACAACTCTTGGAACCCCAGCGTCTGAACAAGTCATGTAAAAATACCATCTTTCTTTTGTTGTATTGTGAATCTCTAAGTAACTGGGGAGTAACTGAGTTGATAAAGGATTATGTTAAGTGGGAAGATAGTATTCAAAGGAAAAATGGCAAATTGCAAATCCTGAAAGGTTTCCCTCAAAGACTAACAGAACTCCCTCTAAAGGTCTTTTATAAGTAAATAGCAATTGAAATAAAATATTCTGATGGATGTGGTCTTTTGGCTGGGTTGACTGAATTTGTGAGGCAACTGAATCCTTGAATTGCCACATTGGTTTACATCACTAGCATTCTTATCAACCTTCAATAAAATTTCCCCTAAAAGAAGCTTGGAAAATTTGACTTCAGATGATTTGAGGTCATTTAAGCTATGTTTCTATGTGTCATGACTGCCTAACTGCTGGAAAAATTGCCACCTCCCATGAGTTGTATATTCAGTGCCTAAAAAGCATCCTTTGGCATCCTTTGGCATCCTTTGGTTGAATTTTGGAATAAAAACTGTAATTGAAATTTGAAGTTTACCGATAGGAGCTGTCAAAGAAGTACACATTGTTTACACAAAATGCTTTAAAGTTGGAAACCACTGTTTTGTAAACAGTTACAAATGTGAACACGATGGTAAGAATGCCTTTGTTCATTCAGTAATCTTCTCTTAGTCTGGACCATAACACTTGACGACAATTCTTTTCTTAAATTGTAATTGTAATTACATTGTAATTTTGAAGATATCTTTTCCCTGCCCATTTTTTGTTCTATGGAGACCATGAAAATGCATGATTGTATTAATATATTAATAGAGTTACCCTTATAAAGTTGTGAAGATCCTCATCACTATCCATAGCTGATGTAATGCTTGCCAATCAAGCGCAGTATTTTCAACTATAAGGGGTTATTTGAAATGTGCAGAAGTACATCACCATAGAATAATGTATTTTTGTTCTATGCTGCTGTCCAATTTTGGTTTAACTGTGGACAGTATGTTCTGACTGGTTTCCAAAATTGGACTTCACTTAAGTTTGCGCTTGGATTTGTAAATGACAAGAGAATCTTGATTAAAGTAATAAAATATACAGGGCATCACAATGCTTGTGCGATCAGGCTGTTGTTAGGATACCATGAAATTTGCACAATAACCAACAACCAATTTCTTAAGTGTCTGTGAGTGCATGGAAAAACAGTTTCTGCCCTCCCCAACATAGGGAAAAACTTGAAAGTTTTACCTTTTCTTTTGCTTATTTACTTTGCACAAGTGTTTCACCTGAGGAGATCACAAAATTAAACATTTCTTGCTATTGCTTCAGGGTATAACTAAGTTAATGAAAATCTGTTGACTCTATACTAGTTGTGTAGCACTGACAAAACAAAGCTTAATTTTAAAATTAGAATGAGGTGGCGTTTAATAATAATAATAATAATAATAACTTTATTTGTATAGCGTCTATATCACTTATTGCTCTAGGCGCTTAAAAATATCACAAAATGTATTATATAAGCATGGAAATTAAATAGAAATATATTTAAAAATCAAAAAAGGCTTGGCGAATTAAATATGTCTTTAAATGTTTTTTGAAAGAATTCAAGGAATCGGCATTTCTTAAAGATGCGGGTATGCTTTTCCATAATTTAGGTCCTGCAATAGGGTTTGATCAAAAGGATATTCTTTATTGATCACGAAATCATTTTAGACTGTGTTAAAAAATAAATTAGTTTATTATTAATAGCAAAACCTGTGGTCACAATCTTAAACTCTCCTAGAAATGTAAGAATCACTGATATTCCTCTCCTCGATGCAATAAGTAATGCTGTTGGGGTCCCTTTCTCTCAGGCACATCATGTGGACAAATTTGTGTCTGAACACCTTCCACCACCTTAAGCTCTTTTTGGCATTGCGTTTGTTTTCCACATACTAAGCCAGCTTAATATGCTTTGCCTCTCTACCATGCATTGAATTGAGACCCAAGCTTCAGATGTTAAACTTCGTGGTGTGTGTTGGCATGAGGTCTTTAGCTTTCTACTTGCTCAATGCGCACCTCAACTCTTGAGTAAATAGAAACTGCATCTCTGAATTTGACTGCAACAAATGCCAAAGTGTGAAGTTTCACGACGGACCCCTTGAAAGATAGACAGAAGTTCCTGTATGAAAGTGCCAACAAAAGTACTTTGATTCAAGCCATGTGAATCTATATGAGAATGTAATACACAAACAATGCTTGGCAGAACTGGTTTTCAGCTGCACTCTCTGTTGTAATGCAGGACACAAACCAGACTCATCTCAAGGAAGCAACAACAGTCTCTGATCTTCCAGAAAGTTCCCCTCTGCTTGCGGTTTTTAAGTGCCTGAAACGTCAAGTGTGGGAGACTACGCAAGGTCTCCCTTTGGTGGTTAAGCGAGAAGCAAAAGAAGTGTGATGTAGAGGTTCCGCCTTGAGTAAATCAACATACTTCCCCAACAGAGAAAGAAATTCTTGTCTCGACTTGCTTTGAACAATAAATTTGGTAATATGACTTCTTTGTTTGCCCTTGGGATCTTTAAGTCTTTTCTTCGACTTTTCCATTTTCTCTGCAATGGCCAGTCTCTTGGTGTACTGCCATGGTTACCATGTTGCTTTGTGGTGGTTTTATTGGTGGCCCTAAAGCAACATTTTAACCATGCTGCTTTAGGGCCACCAATAAAACCACTAAGGGTTCCCTTGTTTGTTTGATTAACATTGGCAAAAGGTGAAAAGTAGGTTGTACAATTGTTTAGTTCTCGAGAGTGGGATGACATCCATTTTATGTCAGATGGTATCAGTTCAAATTTGAACACAACCTGCTCCCCTCTCCCAGTGGTCAGTGTCTACCCTTCAATCTGTTCCATTTCTTCCTTTAGGTGATTTGAGTAAGATTTCATGAGTGGATGATCTTCTTCACAGTTGGCACCGAGGAGTAAATGATTATCATTACAACTTTGTACTCTGTTCAGCAGGTTGAGAAAGCAAGCTAAATATGCGGTGACTGTGTCATTCTTGCCAAATGGTGCACCATCTGCCCCCACTACCACATATAGTACTCTTCACTCAACCCAGCCAAAAGATCCCATCCTTCAGAATATTTTATTTCAATCACTATTTACTTATAAAAAACCTTTATAAGAAGTTCTGTTAGTTTTTGAGGGAAACTTTTCAGGATTTGCAAAATTGCCATTTTTCCTTTTAATACTGTCTTCCCACTTAACATTATCCTTTATCAACTTATTAATTAGCCAGGTATTGAGAGGTTCAAACTACAACGAAAGAAAGATGGTATTTTACATGACTTATCCAGGTGCTGGGGATGCAAGAGTTGAGCCAACTTACTTACCATTTTCCTCAAGAGAATAATCGTGATTAAGCTTGGAATATTCTATCAATCTCAATCCCAAGTGACAGCCACACTGCCAACGAAACGCTGGTAAACAAAGAAGAGCAGAAGATGCATTTTACATGTGTATCTTCTTAGCAATTATTGATTGCTCACTTTAGAACAACAACGAGGTAGTTTTGCCCCACTGTTATTGATACATTTCGTAACCACACAGACAGCGCCCTCCATCTGCTTAACATTCTAGACATTCTAACAGTAAACGTGTAACAAAACAATGATCTAAAGGTTTTGCATCTACAGCACGAAGGCCTGTTTAAGTGGATCCCTTCCGAAATCATTTTCAGAAAAATTTATGTAAACCTTAAGTGTGGAATATCTCTGTGAACAAAGAAAACTAGATGCTGTCTAGATGCTAGATGCATACATTGTCAGTCATGTATATGCCCTTTGCAGATTTAAGAGATGGATATGGTTGTAGTATTGATAAACAAATTTGATTAAAAGTTTTTGCATCCATGGCACAAAGACCTGCCTAAGTGGATCCCTTCCAAAGCCATTTTCATTATGCAGGTAGTATTCATAGATACAACACCAGATATGCTTCCCAACAAAATTTTTGTAAACCTTAAGTGTGCAATAACTCTGGAAAACAAACAGTTGTCTATTTGGGAAGTAGTCTTTATGACAAAATCCCTCTAGACTTATTATAACTTAAAATCTTCAATTTCTCTAGGTAACACTCTGAACATTTGCCTTAATATCTACCTTGTCATCGGTATCATAATCATGGTTACTATTTTCTTTAAGTCTAGTTCTGTTTTCCCTCATTTGTTTAATCTAAGCAACTTAAGTGAACTGGAAGCTGATTTGAAAACTTAGCAGCTATTTAGCCTCCCGGCTCCACATTTGTACTATTTCTCAGTGTTCCAAGTAATTTGTATTTTAAATTTGTAGTGTAGGACAGTGCCTATAGTATTACACATCATGAATAAAAAAATGGTCACTGAGTCACTAGGAACTGAGACCAACAACTTCAAACCTTAATTACAACTACCAGCCAGAAAAAGGAAACAAAAATTTGCTTCATACAAAATTTAGGCAGCTATCTATAAAAGTTTGTAAATTAAAATAACTAAGTGAAAAAACTTTGTAAAAGTGAACAAAAAGAACTAGATGCAGTGTGCCATACATGGAAAACAGACAATTGCTAAGAAAATGAAAGCTGACCTTGATGAAATGATAGAGAATCCTGATGAGGGAATTTATGTTCATGAGAACTACTTGGAAGTCTTTACTGAAGGTCCTGCCACAAAACCAGAAGTGCCAGCGCCCACACAAGCAGAAATGGAAAGTTTTATTTTACTACAGCAGTGGAGCAGTTTCTCATTTCCGAGAAAATGTTTTGATACCAGGGGAGCTTGTTAAGGTCGCTCAAAAAGCTCTGAGGATCGTAGTGTTTATAGCTCCTAGCGACAACGTAAGCAGCCGGTGGCTTGGGCATCCTTAGATTAAACACAGCAAAGACTAAATAGTGATCACTGATGTGAGTCTCCACTATATCGCTATCCATAGTTATTGCCGGGTTTGAAGTAAAAATGACATCAATCAGTGTTAGATGTTTCTGTCACTCTCGTGGGCTTGGTAATAAGCTGCTTCATATTCAGACTTGTACACAGGTTGTTTAATGTTTTTTATTTAGAAGAACTCACGAGCAAATCACAGTTGAGATCTCCGACCACTAGAATAGGTAGGCCATAAACAAGCGCTTGCGTATAACGGTCCCTGAAGTCTTCAAAGCAGGCAATATCACAATCAGGAGGCTTGTAAGTGACGCACAGCAAGAGTGACTTGAGCGTTTTGTTCTGAACTTGCATCCATGATTGGGTGAAAACCAGTGTCTGATATTCCGGATAGGTGTTTAAGTACTTTAGACTTCAAGCTCTTGCGCATGTACACGCACACCCTACCACCAATTTCATTCTTTATGTTTTCTAGGCCTGTCCAGTCTTGAAAAACTGTATCCGTCAATTTCGACCTCAGCGTTTTTGACACTTGAATTTAGCCAAGATTCTGAAATTGCTAAGATTGCATACTTCTTTTCATCCATTAAATTCCTCACTTGAATCAAATGCTCTCTTGTCTTCAACGATCGTACGCTCAAGTGTGCCACGATTACTTTTGATTTCTGAGAATTATTTCCATGGATTGTTGAATTCAAGGTCCCATGAGAGGTTGTCTTAGCTACAAAGATGTCGACTGGAATATTTAATAAGTTACTTAGGTTTGCACCACGCAGTTTCTCTTGGAAGTTTTGCTGACACTGTACACGAATAATAACATTGATAGGTTTATCTGTGACCATTTGATCCCCAAGTGGTGAAACTATAGACTTTCTGTACCTGCTGTTCATTGACATAAAGTCCACCCACACTCAAGGTTTTATTGTAGTTTGCCCATTCAAAGTTGAATGTGTCGGAGCATTCATGCTAGTGTCAAGGATTAACAGCATTTGTGTTGTGGTTGATCTGTATTATGATCTAAAAACTCTAAATGGCAATGAGAGAGTCCTTGTAGCTGTTCCACTTAATGTTAAATTGCATCTTTAAAGATATTTTCGATTTTTAGGAACTGCTCATTTGATACATTGGGCTTACGATTTGCACATATATATAGGATAAGACCTTGCTCCTCGGTGATTGACTGTTTCAGTATAATTTAAGCCCAATAAGTGATCAGCTTCGACTTTCTCTTCAAAATATCAGCCATTATTAGTAGGTGAAGACTGTTGGGCTCAAAGGGTTGAAATCGTAAGTTTTTACTTTGTAGGTTTGATAAGTCAACAAGTGTAGGATACCCCTTCAATTGTCCGATGTCTAATTGCACATTTTCAGATTACAAGTCCTTAAATTTAAGTTGTCCATTGAGGTGGTTTAATGAAAGAAGTATGAATACATCTGACTTTCTTGTCCTAATATTACTTTATCATACTGTATACTTTGGTCACAGCCCAAAAATTTGTATTAATTCATCATCATTGGTTGTTTACTGTTAGATGTCCAGGTATTAAGGACAATAATACATTTTTTTGCTTATCACAAGGTATTTACTAGTGAGTCTGCTTTTTTTTTGGAGGGGGGGTAAGAGGATGTAAAGGGCACTCAACATTTTCTTTACCAATTGGGAAATTGAAAATTGAATTGAAAGGTATGAAGCAGTTGTGTTAGAGCCACATTTCTCATCAGGAAGTGAACTTGAGCTTGGGGCTTCACTCTATGGATCTGGACCTTGGGGAGGAATGTCAATGTCATGGTAAAGGGCAGTAGAGCTATCACTTTCTGGTTGAATATAAATGCTTCCTAGCAAGCGCGAGGACATGTGAAGCAGTGAAATACACGCCACTGGCTAACTTTGGTAATACTATTTGTTCTTAATAGGACTTCATGAATTTAAAATTTGTCTCTCGAACAACTCTCTGATTTGAGCCCTGAAATCTTCCTCTTGCAGAGACATGTCAACTGGGAAGACATGTATTTCCATCTGCCATTTCATTTGATGAGTGGGTACCAACCTGATATCAGGGGAAGGCAGAAGGACCAAAGCTTTATGCACAACATCTCTTTTGGTCTTCTTGGGAGGAGGCTTCTTATCTCTGTTCGATTTCCCACCAAATGATGATCTCTTTCTAAACAGTAGGAAATAAGTTTTGCAACTGAGCGGCAACTGCTGTGCTAAGTGTGTCAACTCTGATCACCGGCCTCGCAATGGCTGGTGAGGAAAAGTCTACTTAAACATCCAGTTATCAAAAACAGTCTTGCATACATCTAAATCTAAGGTTGTACATACTCAGCAATTAAGAGTCCTTAACTACAGACTCTTCCATAATAATCTCCTTGACTACTTTAACATCAAAACGAGTCACTGAACCCTGATTTTCCTCCTCAGATTCACCTATGGTAATGTGGCCCTCATTGCGGAGTGAGTTTGCAATCGCTCTGAGTCATCTTGTCCTTGCCTCGTAAAAGGCTTTTTTCATCTCCGTAATTGATCCATCTTAGCTTCTTTTTAGGATGGTTTTCCTAGAGCCACCATTACAATTAAATCTGCTGTGGTCTGAGTTATTTGTAGGATAAAAATGAGCAAATGTTAAGAGAAAAGCTATATTCACACAGTAGATACTCAAACCAGGCCACTTGACCATTCAAATGCTAATTGAGAACATTGGATAGGCCCCTTTTTCACAAGCAGACCAATGACAATCTAATGATACATTTTATAACCAAGCACAGGCAAATAAATCCTTCTTTATCGTAATTTTTACCTACTAAATTTGTTTCACTGATTCATGAGGTTGGAAAACACCAGGGGAGAAGTAACTCAGTTTGTACAGCAACAAGGCGTGAGAACAAGTCGTTGTGACAAGTTCCCTTATCTGTTCTGACCTTGAAGAATGCATTCTTGGCAGCAAAAAATTGTCATTAGCGTGGTGCTCTAGGA